GACTGCCTCTGACTCGACTGACTGACTTGACGCTCTGACTGAGTCTGACTGACTGAGACTGACTGACGGACTATTTTTCCAGACTTCAGACTGAACAGACTTCAGACTGAATAGACTGAACAGTATTTAGTCACCGGTTTTAACGAGGGCATCATGTGGCACAAGGCCGGTTTAACGTGGGATCTCCGAGCCCGTGGGCTCGGCCAAAAATCGGCCCTTTGAACCCCCGTATAAACGGGTTCAGGGTCGGTTTACCTCCCCGAAAGAGACTCCGCCCTTCGGCGTAGCCTCGTTCGGGTTCCTCCCCGCCCGAAGGCAGAGAGTTCAACCGATCAGCCGGTCAGCCGGTCGCCCGACTTCGGACTGAACTCCCTGCTTCCTCTTGAGGCGCAGTATTTATTACGTATGGAATAGTCCATTATGTTATTATGGGTGGGTCCCATAACAATAAATATATATATATGAACCACTGAATCGTCCCGAAATATTTGACCTTGAAATCTAAGGCTTTTTAATATGAAATAAAAAATGGTATATCAAACTAAAAAATTGTTAAGATAAATTTTTTCATAGAAATGTTTGGAATTCTGAAAAACAATTTTTATAAGATTTCAAGTAAATGGTATGAATATGATGATGTTTATTTGTTTAAACTTTTCAAAGGAATATAAAAAGGAAAATTAATTGAAAGAAATTCTATTTACAAGTGAAAAACTTTCCAGTATCATATAAATAAAATTGTAAAATTTGTATTATTTATGTTTGAAAAATTGAAATTATAGTGGGATCTGAAAGTTCCATTTAAATGAAAAAACTGCAATTTCCCGTTGTTTTTTTTAATATACGGTTCCTAAAATAAAATCATATTTAAATCTTATTAGGAAATTTTTTATCAATATTTCTTTTATAGGTCCAACCATTTTTTTTTTTTTTTGAGATATAAAGCTAATTTTTTTTTTTTATGAGGCGTATAAAAATAAAGCGATATACATGATATTTATTTATTTTAAAAACGATTAATTGATTTATGTACACATTGAACTATTTTGTCAGACAATTAAATAAATAAAATTTTATTTTGAATTTTTTGACGTTGTATTAATTATAAATGAATAGAAATTTTTGGAAAGAATATTCATCACATAAATTTAAAAATGGTTTGAAATCAAAAAAGAGTTTTTTTTGAAATAAATTTTTTTTGACGTATATTAAATTTTGAGCGTTAAAAAAAAATTTTAATTAAAAATTAAATCAATATTATAAAAAAAAATCGTTAGATATAAAGAATGAAAACGATTTGTAGCTTTATCGAATGGTTACAATATCGATAGTTAAAAATATTCTAAATTTTAGAAAAAAAAAAAATTTTATTTTTATTAATATTTTTTTAAAAAAAAAATATGGAATGAAAGTGGAAAAAAAAAATATATAGAAAAAAAAAAAATTCAAAAAAAAGTTTCAAAAAAGGTTTTCCAAATTTGATTCTTTAAAATAGATAATTTCTAACTTAAAAAAAAAATTTTAAATATTAAAACTATCTATATATGATCTAAAAAAAAAAATGTTTTGTTTATTATTTATAGGAAAATTTTTTTTTTAAATTATTATATTTTTATTATATACAATTTAATCAATAATATATATATATATATAAACGATTTAAATAGTTTTATACAATTATTATTCTTTATTTTTTTTTCTTTTTTTTTAAATTTCAAAAAATTCTTTTTTTTGAATATTTTGCATAGAAAGAATTTTTGACGCTAAATCAAAATTCATTTTTAATAAAGAAATTTTTTAGATATTTTATTTAATTTTTTATTCAGAATTATATAGATCAAATATTTTAAACTGAAATAATTTTCTTTATTTATTGGCTTAAATATTTCAAAGAAATATCTACCAAACCCATATTTAAAAAATAGTCTAGGATGACTAAAATATCATATTAGGGGTTGAATATCTTACACAAAAGTTTCTTATATTGATAGACATAAATCAATAGTTGAATATTATATTGAAAACAAATATATTTATTTATAAATGTTTGAAAAAAAAAAAATAAATATATAGGAAAATAAAACTAAGAAGATATAGATAAAAATGAAATATAAAAGAAAAAAAACTTTGTTTAATGGAAAAAGTTTTTCTGTTGAATTTTTTTTAGAATTTCAAACTGAAAAATAATTATAATTTTTCAAATTCTTTAATCATTCATATTAAAAATAGATTTTTTGTTCAAAAAAGAAAAAATTTCAAAGAGGTCTCAGTATTTGTAAAAAAAAAACTTTCAAACGCGATTCTAAAAATTCGATAAATATCCATATGTTAAAACATTACAAATTTCAATTGATCCAATTTTTTTGAACGCAAAAGATTTTTTAAGATTTAAAATATTATTTAATATAAAAATGGATTATCTTTTAAAAATTATGCGTAGAAAAAAAAAACTTTTTTTAAACCTGAAAATTTAAAATGATTTATTAAAATTGAAAAAATC